GCTCCATACGGTGCCCTTTCCATTCCTCTTCAATTGATTCAATTGAAAAATCCTTCTATTCCTGTCTCCCTCATGTATTGACCTAGCATACCTGTAAATTGCCCAATTGGGCAGACCCATTGCTTTTGCAGGTCAGAGATGTTTTTATATGCAGTTTGATCATTCATTGAAATTTATTCTCTTTTTCCTGAATGTTTCATTAGGTCCCTCCTAACTTATGACTGAAGCAAAAGTTAATGATTTAAGAGGGTGATTCAATGTGCCATTCCTCATCAGTAGTAATGGTGTGAGAGGCAGCCTGCACCTAATGTCTTTCATTAGTTCATTGCTAAAGTGGGCTACTGGGAAGTGATCTATAAACGTGATCTAGGCTGAGTTTTCATCTGACAGAGTTTAATTTAAATGGTTTGTGTTGCATGATCTGGCTGCATTTTTCAGCTTAGCTTATGCAGGTTATTCAGAAAGACATAGAAGGTATGTAGTTTTCCAAAGGAGTTATGATTAATTGCAATGCTAAGTCGTCTTCCTTATAAGCCCTGCAGTCCTCCAACCTGATGTATTAAACCAAACTAAAAGGACTATCCAGGATACAATTTTTGGATGAATCACAAAACTCTTTAAAATAATTTCAAAATTTTTTTTGTTTAAAAAAACTTGTAGTTATTGAAATCAATCTTTTAAAATGTATTTTAAATATTTACAAAGGCACTTTTGTATAAATTTCCACTAAACCATGCTCAAGAATGTAATTTTTGGCTGGTAAAAAGACTGGAACCATGTTGTTATTGGTCATGTTACAAACAAAACCAACTTCCACTTCATAGTATAACAGAGATATTTAGTAAAGAAGGAAAAGGGAACAAATAATTAAAGAAAGAACAACTTGAACTGTATGGTGTTTTTCACTATCACTGATTGCCTCAAAGTGTTTTAAAAGCAATGAAGAGCTTTTGCAGTGTAATCACTGTTGTAATATCGGAAACGCAGCAACCAATTTGCACTCACTGAACTCCCATAAAGAGCTATGAGGTAAATGACCAAATAAAAAGATTTTATTTTTGATTCAGGGATAAATAATGGCTGCCTTCATCAAAAGAAGGTTCTCCTGAGAGCCTTCATTAGTTCCAATGTGCTAACTCAGCCTCCAGCCAATTGAGGAAAAGTGTATTTGAACATCAGGATCTTAAACATGAAACTAAGGTAATGATTTATAAGGCAATTGTGACACTTGCCTTCCTATATACATCAGTGGTACCTTTGAAAGATCCTCCAAATCACTGCAAATAAGGTGATCCAATAGTGTTATCCTCTCCTAAGCCAACATATACGCAGCATTGATGTGCCAGTCAATCAAAACCAGTTCGGCTGGGTAATACATTACATTCATGTGCTTGATACCAGACTCACAAAGCAGCTGTTTTAGTTGAAACTCTGCCATAGCAGGAAACCTCCAGGAAAACAGCAGAAACACTTCAGGAATATCCTTGATGCATCGTGGAAAAGATTCAACTTCTCTGCTGACCTGTGGGAATCCTTGACTTATGACCAACCAAAATGGAGAAGGTTTATTTGGGAAAGTACTGAACATATTGAACATTTTTAAAGAGGTAAAGTTAGAGAGAGTGCACAAGCCTTCAAACATCTCATCTGCCAATGATTCTAGCATCACCTATAACAGTGTGGTGACTCTTAACTCTTATCTGTATTATTTTAGATTGCATCTAAAGTTACTGTTCTCTTTATTTCATCTCATCATTCCTTACAAAACAGTTAACCTGCCACGTTAAGGACCAGCAGCAACCAAATCACTGACTGTAATATAAGAAATGGGAACAAGAGTAAACCACATGGCTTCTTGAGTCTATTCCACTATTCAATATGATGATACTTGATCTGCCTTAACTGCATTTTCCTAGCTACTCCCATAACCCTTAATTTCTGGAGAGACCAGAAGTATTTCCATCTCAGCTTTACATATACTCAAATATCAACCGACCATAAAACCCTGGGATAGAGGTTTCTAAAGATTCACAAACCCTTGAGTAAAAAAGTTCCACCTTATTTCAATCCTAAATGATCAATCCCTTATCCTGAGACTGGCCTCTGTCCAATTATCCAGTCAGTGGAAATGAATCCTCAGCTTTTACAAAGGCAAGAGCCTTCAGAACTGTGCATGTTTCACTAAGATCATGTCCCATTTTTCTCAACTTCAAATAGCATGGGCCCAATTTGCTCAGCCTTTCATCATAAGACAAACAACTCATCCCAGATATGAACCTAATGAATCACCACTGAATTGCCTTCAATTCAAGTGTATCTTCTTTGAATATGGAGACCAAAACTGCTTACAGTAGTCCAGGATTGGTCTCACCAAAGCCCTAGGCAATTGTCATAAGACTAGCTTATTCTTGTACTCCAGTCCCCTTTCCAATAAAGTCCAGCGTCCCAATTTTTTGATGGACTTACTGGATAACTGGGAATACAAGAAAATAGAATTGGATAATAGGTTGACAAATGTCGAATCATCTAAGAGCTGAGATCTCTGAAGAGAACAAAATCATGATGTTATTCAACCAATTCCATTCCATCAAGTTTCAAGCTCTGCCCACTTACCAATGTTCAGTTCCTTGGTGTATAATCATGTTTAGTCCAGACTAAGGTAAGAGAAAGCAAAGGTAAGTAAAATTATTGATAGAACACCATTCATGACTCTTTAGATACTGAAGTGGTCCATGTTCAAATACAACAAGACCTGGACAATATCCAAGCTTGGGATGACAAGTGGCAAGTAACATTCATGTCATACAACTGCCCGAGGCAGTGACTATCTCCAATAAGAGATAATCTAACTGGCATCCATTGACATTCAATGGCTTTACTGTTGCTGAATTCCCCCAATCAAAACCCTGGCGGGTTACCATTGACCAGAAGATCATCTGGACTTGTCATTTAAATACAGTGACTACAAGAGCAGGTCAGAGGCTAGGAATACTGCAGGGAGTAACTCACCACCTGACTGCCAAAACCTGTCACCATTTAAAAGGCACAGGTCAGGAGTGTGATGGAATGTTCCCTACTTGCCTGGATGAGTGCAGCTCCAACTACACTCAAGAAGCTTAATACTATCCAGGACAAAACAGCCAGCTTAATTGGCACCATATCCACCAACATCCACTTTCTCCACCTCCAATGCCTCCGTAGCAGCCATGTGCACTACCTAAAAGATGCACTGCGGAAATTTATCAACGATCCTTAGACAGCATCTTCCAAACGCACAACAACTTTCATCCAGAAGAACCAGGGCAGCAGATACATGGGTACACTACCACCTGCAAGATCTCCCGCAAGCTGCTCACTATCTTGACTTGGAAATATATCCCTATGCATTCACTGCCACTGGGTCAAAGTCCTGGAATTCCCTCTCTAAAGGTATTGTGCATCTCCCTACAGCATGTGGATTGCAGTGGTTGAAGAAGGCAACTCACCACCACCTTCTCAAAGGCAACTAGGGATGGGCAATAAATACTGGCCAGCCAGTTTACCAATGACCCGCAAGTAAAAAAATTACTCATGACACATTGTCTGTGCTCATCATTGTTAGAAATTTCAGTGCAGTATATTAGTATTGTAACCTATTTTGTTTACCTGAAAGTCAGACGTCAGACATGACATCATTCTAAGGCATGCACAAAGGTATTGAGAAATTTCTATATATTGTCAAAAACTCAATTCATGAAGTGTCAAACCTGGGCCAAGAACATTTCAGGTTTGAGTTTTGTTAAGTAGATAAAGTGAATATCATATCTTTAGATATGAGGCTTAAACAAGAGATTTTACAATACTTTCTGCATTGTCTGTGTGAATCTTTGCTGTTCAGCAATATCATGGAAGATACATGCTTTCTAATGTCTGATGGAGACATGTAAGAGTTGCTAGTAAATGAATATCAAGTAATCAATTTCTATATCATGAGATGAGAGTGACAGTCCTTAACATCGTGAGGCCACATTTCAAGTGTATCATCAAAAAGCCCTAGCAAACTAGAATAAATAAGAATAAGGGGAAACTCTCTGCTGGTTGAAGTCATACCTAGCACTAAGGAAGTTAGTTCCAGTTGTTGAATCAGAGATAGTAGGAACTGCAGATGCTGGAGAATCTGAGACAACAAGGTGCAGAGCTGGATGAACACAGCAGGCCAAGCAGCATCATAGGATGCTATTTCTGATGAAGGGTCTAGGCCTGAAACGTCAGCCTTTCTGCTCCTATGATGCTGCTTGGCCTGCTGTGT